AAAAATTTTTAAATATATAAAAGTATTAGAATAAATTACCACAAATTACATATATTGCCTAATAAAAGGAAATTAAACAGTAACATTTGGAGATAAGATACATTAAGGGTCCAAAAAGAATAAATACATGCTCAGTCTCGAATATTTACAATCCAATGAAAAAAGGCAAACAGGTAAAGAAACTTAATATAAAACAATGAGAAATAACTCTTTAAACAACACCAAGTATTATAGAAACAGTAAAAAGAAATTCAGGTGTTTAAGCAAGTATTCAGAGAAGGCAGTATATGAGTTAACTCTTGAAGGAAAAAGAAGAGATTTTTTTCAGGCTTAGTTAACAATAGTACAGATATACTAATATACAGAGAATGGACAATGTATTTCATATTATATGAAGTATGAAAAATTCCATCTGATTAGAATTTACTATATATGGATCATTAAAGAAAGATAGCAAAAAAAAACAAAAACAAAAAAAGGGGATCCCTGGGTGGCGCAGCGATTTAGCGCCTGCCTTTGGCCCAGGGCGCGATCCTGGAGACCCGGGATCGAATCCCACGTCGGGCTCCTGGTGCAATGGGCCTGCTTCTCCCTCTGCCTATGTCTCTGCCTCTCTCTCTCTCTCTCTGTGTGTGACTATCATAAATAAATAAAAATTAAAAAAAAAAAAAAGAAAGACAGCCCTACATTAAGTAAAACAGATCCCAAGGATATTTAAGAAAAATTATTCAGAAGATACCTTTAGGGTATAAACTATGCCAGTAGTGTTAAAAAAGGAAAGAAGATGATATTGCAGAATTTTACAAAGATTAGAGACAATCAACATAATAAGAAAATCTCAGATTAAGAATTAAATAGACCTGGGCTAGAATCCTAGCTCTATCACTTATTAACAGTAAGATCTGGGGCACCTGGCTGGCTCAGTCAGTAGAGCATGTGACTCTTGATCTTAGCGTTATGAGTCTGAGCTCCACAATGGGTAGAGATTACTTAAAAAATAAAATCTTAGGGACGTATGGGTGGCTCAGTGGTTGAGGTCTGCCTTTGGCTCAGGGCATGATCCCAGAGTTCCAGGATCGAGTCCCATATTGGGCTCCCTACATGGAGCCTGCTTCTCCCTCTGCCTGTGTCTCTGCCTCTCTCTCTCTTTCTGTCTCTCTCTTGAATAAATAAATAAAATCTTAAAAAATAAAATCTTAAAAAAATAAGGTTTTTCTAAATTGCAACTTACAATTTTTGTCAAATGGGTATTACATGTATTATTGTGGCAAAGCCTTAATATGATGACAAATAAATTGTCCAATGTACTTTCAATTAACAGATAGTCAGACTTTAATAGTTTCTTTCTTATGATAAATGGTAGAATGTGAGAGAGGATAGGAGAGAAGTTAAGATATGTAGCCTTAGTGACGGGACTGGGAAGATGGTAAAGTCATTAACTAAAAATGAACTACAAAAGAAACAGATTTGGAGGACAGAAAAATGCATGAGTTTAGACATACCAAATCTGCAGTGTTTTTTTTTTTTAATTTATTTATTTATGATAGTCACAGAGAGAGAGAGAGAGAGAGTGAGGCAGAGACACAGGCAGAGGGAGAAGCAGGCTCCATGCACCGGGAGCCCAACGTGGGATTCGATCCCGGGTCTCCAGGATCGTGCCCTGGGCCAAAGGCAGGCGCCAAACCGCTGCGCCACCCAGGGATCCCCAAATCTGCAGTGTTAATGGGATACATATCTACATGCAAAGATATCAGAAAGTATAAAAACTCTTGAGTCTTGAACTCAGAAGACCGTTGTAACAAGTAACATTTTAGGTCTTAGGCATACAAGGGAAAGCAAAGAATGAGTGAGCCAAGACCAGGAGCTCACAAGGAGCCAGGGGTAAAACTAAGAGTCAAGATTGCAAAAAGGAATGAGTTTCAAAAATAGTGAGGTAGCCATAAGTTTTAAGTACTGGATGAAACTGCTTCATTTGGTAATTAAGGAGATCTCTGACAAACTGAGAGCAATTTCAGCAAATTTTTGATGACGTCAAACTGCAGACACTGAAGGAATAAATGGGTGGTAAAGAAATCAGAGAAAAGAACAGAATCTATTCCAAGGGTCTTCAAATGGGAACTCCACATAGTAATGGAGACCTGATGGACATTATCAATATTTCAAAGAGACATCTGAAAAAAAAATTTAGCTTTTACCACACTACGAAAAACTAAGGAAAATAAGTATCTTTAATTCTCTAGTTAGCATATTTTATATATATATATATATATATATATATAGACACACATATGTATACTTGTATGTATGTATTGAATGAAAGCATGAATCACTGTTTTACAAGTGTTGTGGTAAACAGGATCTCTCATATCAGGAGATTCTTGATGGAAAATAAATAAAAAGATTATTAAGTACTAAAAGATGGGGGGATCATGGAGCTCTTGTAAAAAATCCAACACTGAAGAGAATAAATGCAATTATGAATGATTCAGGTGGAAACCTTAAGAGAAAGTTTCTGTTGTTATTTCTAGTTTAAGAGTTTTGTTGGTTGGTTATCTTTTGTCTTCAGAAGTAGAAAAACTTGTTTTTCTGTGTTAGGTTGAGACTAAGAAATCACTGTGAAGAAATGTTTCCAGTTCCAGAAAGAAAGGTAATTAAAGATGACTGAGAACTGGATGTAATCAGGAGGAAAAAGGACCAACCTTATGAGTCCTGTAGTTATGCATGAGTTACAATCCACGAATAGAAAACTATGTATGCATTCTCGTCTAAAAGCAAGCTGCCCTACAGAAGTTCAGTTAACCAGTTAGGTAATTAAGCCAACCACAACTCTAGTTTCATAGAGGGTATATCACACAGAGGTAAAGAGAATTTAAAGTCTGACAAACAAGGGTTAATTAAGAAGCCTGCTCCTCTACTGACCACTATTTAACCTTAACCTTCCCTAACTTCTCTGAAGATGTTTCTTCATTTAACAATAACATTTGTCTCATCAGCTATCAGGAAGACCAAAAGAAACAATATATGTAAAGAGCTTAGCACAGTGCCTGACACAAAGTAAGCATTTAAGAAACAGAGCAATAATTACTAAAAATAAAATAAAAACATTTCTCTGACCTTAGGAATGAAAAGACCTAAGATTTAAAGGAAAGGAAACAAATGAAACAGGAAAGATAATGTATCTGGCTACTCAACTTTTATTGTGTAAATTTTTTATGTGAAAAAATTTGTTTAAAAGTATCATACAAAAACTAAAAAAAAAAAAAAGGTAAAGAACTGATTCACATAAATAAGTTTTCTTACAGAACAAAAAGATAAAAGCCCCAGTAAAAAAAAACAAAACAGAACAAAAGGTACTGACATCCTTCTTCCTCTGCATAAACAATATCAGGTACCCAGTTTAGGAATCCACAAATATAGTAAAAAGCATTTTTCAAAACTTCAACATGACTGATATTATGAGGTGTATTGTCCTTCCAATTTCCAACCAAGATACTAAGGCACGCCTCATGTCCTTAAAGGAAAAAAAAACTATTTGAAGCATAAAATAATAGTAGTAGTTGAAATATGAGATTCTGATAACACAAATTCAATCTTTCGCACATTGACAAGTTTATCTGTTATAACTAAAAATAAAACATAAAATAATTAATTAATTAAAAATTTTAATTAAAAATAAAACAATTCTAGCATATATTCTTACAGTAACCTAACGATTTTTCAAGGTGTGCTAAAAAGAGGTGCCTCAAAAATTGTCACTAGGATAAGACGGGCAGTTGTGGAAAGGTCAAGAGGCTATACCCGTGCATTTATCAGTGTTTTACTCCACAGCCTCCAAGCTGTCCAAGTTCCATTTGTATCTGTTCTTATAGTTAGGGTCCAATTTATTCTCAGACTTTCTTTTTAAAACTGAGAAGTAATTCTAGCAATCCACATCAAATCTCTCTCTTACCAATCTAAAAAGACAAAAATCCAGTGAACTATATATATTGCTTTTTTCAAAACTTTCCAATGAAATTTTAAGTGTATGATTATGGGGCCTTTCCCCCCGCCCCAACGTTTTCCTTACCTTTAGAAAATACTACAAAAATTTCCTTTGGGGCAGATACTATGTTTTGCAATATTTTTGGAGTTAACTCTTATTTCTGTGCCCAAGGCAATATAGATATTGCTATGGTATTAATACTGAAAAGACCAAAATATTATGGAACCCCTTCATAACACAGTCAGTGACAGAAATAAAGCCAAGTTGTTAACTTTGTTACATCTTTTCTGTGTGTGGGATTATAGACTTTTGGCTAGCAATATATTAAAAATACCCATGTATACAGAACGTTTGGGAAGAAAGATATTCTACTTCCACCAAAACTTAAATTTGGATTAAAAGATTTATATTTTAAAAAAAAGATTTATATTATACCATTACCAACTTTTTAAAAATTAGAATAATTATAATCTAAATTAAAATTAAATATAATTCAAATTATTTCACAAGTACTTCAGAATCTTATTCAAAAGCTAGTTCTCGGGTTATAAAATCTATTTTCATTATTCAGTACTAAGAGTCAAGACTGAAATATACCTGCCTTAATTCTGTGATGGCATCTATTGAAGTTGGTTTTAAAGCCAACACTTAACTAGTTTGTTAACTATTTTAACTAGTTTGTTAACGATTTTTGAATATAGTACCCCAAATAACTGTGTGTATTAAAAATAACTGAACTTAAAACTGTTAACAAAATCCAAAAGGGGAAAGCTAAATTTAATAAAAGAATAGGAAAGTATACTACAAGCAGATAAAGCTCAATAAATCACCAAACGAAATCATTTAGGTGGTTAGTGGGCCACTAACCTTCCTTTGATTTGGGGGAAAAAAAAAAATCACCTAAGGATACCTAAGAATGTCAACTAAGCCATCCAACGTCACACCCACCACCCCACACAGACACAGAAAGCAGCCAAGATATTCACTTTCAAAAAATGTCTAATAAAATTATTTTTACCTGTAAATTGTTTTCTGTGACTCTGTTCCACCAAACCATATTGATGGGTACTCCTGATTTACACCTGTCAGCAAGGCAGCCAATAGGGTTCTTTGCTTTTCGTGCCTTTGATCCCATCGGAACTAGCCTCTCCTCCAGCATCCCCAGGCGATACTTCCTTGGCTAGGAAAAAGAAGGAAAGAAACCAGCCACTCCTAACATCCCCCACACTAATCTAAACTAACATAACTGACATAGATGATATCAAGAATGGTGGAATAGGAAACAAGTAAAATTTCTAAGACACTTCTTCTAATGTCCTTATAACCACCCATCATTTCCCACCCCCACCCTCAATACACACCTCCAAAATTAACCCGCAGTCCTAACAGGCTGAACAACATATTGATATAAAGCAACAGATGTTTTAGAAGTATACATTATAATTCGATTTTATAAAACCTTAAATGAATAGAAAATTTATCAGCAAAGTTAAATGCTTTGCAAAATTTTTTCTACTGGCACTTACCTATTCTCACTGCAATATGAAGAAATGCTTCAAGGGCACCAAATACAGGTAAACAAATTCTCCAAACTATACCTTTTTCTGCTCCCCATTTTGCTACCTTTTTTTCCTACTGAGGAACTACTTCCACTTAAAAGCAGCAGCTAATTCCTAAGGAATTAATTTTTAAAATTTTTTAAATTCTCTGCACATTAGGTAAAAGTACAAGTCATTGTGTCTTAAAATGGGCATTCAACTTAAGGTACTCAATGATATAATCCCAAATTTCTTTTAAAAATTACACAAATGTCATGGGTCTTATGAATATCAGTAATGTAAGCAGATTGATACTGAATAGCTTTTCCAATAAAAGCATACAGTCACTGGCAAACATTTTTTAAAAGTTAGTAAATAATAGCGATTGGCAGAGTTTTTTTTATATGTGAAAGTTAACGGTAGTTTCCACTATTTTACCTTTCCTATTTATAGCAAATTTGCACTAAATTACATCTTTTATGGGAACTTATATATATATTTCCCTTTAAGGAATGATCATTCTTGGGAAGGTTAATGAATTGAAGACCTGAAATATGAAAATCTATGTTTACTCACTGTTCTGTTCATGTCTGCTAAAGCAAATAGCTAAAATTAACTTTCTTCAGAAAAAGTGTCATTAGCCAGACAGATATATAAAATATAATTTTGGCCAATACAGACAACCAACTTGAAGAAAACACTTCATTTCTAAATTTCAAAATGACCTTGCAAATAATGCCTATGGAAATTATACTATACAAATTAGATTCTAACTACAGAAATGGGCCTCTACTAGTAATCTTTGATTTAAGGGGAAAAAAATTAAACTTGCATAAGAAAGGCAACTAAACTACCTACCAACCCAATTATTACAGCAGTGGATAAATTTCAAGAGACTAAAATATTTCCACCTCCATGCAATCTTGCACCAATTCAATTACTCTCTGTCTACGTGACAAGCAACTTTTGTGGATGAGAATAAAAATGCACCCATCAGAACAATATTACAAACAAAATAATTTTAAAATAAGTTATTTCTGGTAATATAGCTCACAACTATAAGATTTTGATATACAGCAAAACTACTATACCTTAATTAAACTTTCACTAATTTAAATTTCTATTTTAGAAAATGTCTGGGCTAAAGACTATCCTAACTATCAGAAAAGTTCAATACATTGAAGAATATTTATTTAACAATAACAAAATAACAACCTGTCAAATAGGATTACTGCAAGGGCACCTCAATTCTAGTCATATATTTGAAAGCAAGAAAATTGATTAAAATGTTCTTCTGTTTACTCAAATTCATCACAAATGCAGACTTGCTTTTGAGCTGATTATTACGATTAGCACAATTTATTTTCTTATAGCTGTGTACTAAATAATGTAGAAAAACGAATTTACATAAATCCAATGTAGCATTCTCCCTCTCAACAGCTCTCATTACATGTTTCTTATCTTTTCCAAAGAGGAATTCATCACTCTTCTCTCCACCCCAACCTTCAAATACCTAAAATTAGCCTAAGGCCCTTTCCTCTTAAGTGGAAGAAATCCCCAAACATGTACCATTACAGACTTAACTTTCTTCAATAAATAGCCAGAGATTAAAATCTAATCTGAAAGTACAGCCTTCTATGTGATACTGAACGAAAAGACCTAAGGTATCAATACTATTGAAATTACCATCATAAGCAACAGAAAATAAAATGACATCTGAAAAGGGATAATAGCACGAAGGTAATTACATATAGAAGTCTCACTGCACAGGACATAAATTATAGTAAAATCTCATCTGTAAATTAATTTCCAAATTACATTAGCTATTATTTATCCCTTGAAGAAAAAAATGTATGTTCAACTAAACATCTAAGAGACTACTTTGTATCAGGAACTATTCTGAATATGTGAAATACAATGATGAATGACATATACATCTTTTCCTCAAAGAGGATATAATGTAGTAGGAAACCAAGTTCTGCAAACAGAACATACTCATGATATAATAAATGCATACATAATTAAAGTACCAATGGGGCAGAGAAGGTGATTACAATTCTAAAGGAGTAAGTGTGCCTAGATGGAGAGAGAAAGAGGGGAGATGGAGGGAGAGGAAAAACATGTATGTAGAGGAATACAGGCACTGTGGTGTTATATGAAAACCACAAGTATTCAGTCTACCTTTTGTAGAGGGCTAACATTAAAGAGCAAAAGATGAGGCTTCAAATCAATGAAAAAAATAGTTCTATATCTAGACTTCATTCCATGGGCAATGAGGGAATTCCTGAAAGCTTCGAAATGAAAAAGTGAAAACAGGCAGACAAATTCACAGGACTCTGACAGTAATCCAGGTTAGTGTTTCTCAACCTCAGCACTAGAGACTTTGGATAATTCTTTGTTGTAGAGGCAGTCCTGTGCACTGTAGCATGTTTCGGCAGCATCCTTGGCCTTTAACCTCTAGATGCTAGTAGCACCACAGTTCCAGATGTGACAACCAAATGTGTCTTCCATGTCTCAGGGAGATACAACTGCCCCCATTTAAGAATCACTGGTGTAGGTGAAGGATGTGAAATGAAGGGGGCTGAAATGGGAATAGAACTAATAAGGTGTTGGGGAGAGACCTGCTAGATTAAAAACTAGAGGTGACTGAAAAATGGGGGCTAAGGAAACTGGAGAAGTCAAACAGAAGATAAGGCAATAAAAGAGAAAAACAAAATTTTATGGAAAATGTTTATTAAGCCCTAAAGTTATTACCCTAAAACGCTGAGATGTTATGACCCAAACCCCTCTACTACTCCAGAGCAAACAAAAGCAACAGCCCTCTTCCCTTTTCCTTAGCTTCCAGTAAGCCTTTCCTAGACCAATCCTGAGAATGTGAGAGTTAAAACAAAACAAAACAAAACAAAAATACAGATATGTCCCTTTATTGATCCTCCATTCCTGATAGCCTTTCCCATCCATGTATTTCTACTTATGGAATGGAAGCATTTGTAAATGTTCTGTCCTACTGGTAAATAACCAGCTAATTATTTATCCCCTTCTAGTCAAACAACTTTTACTTTAAGTCTCAAGATTTACTACAAGAGTGAATATCATTCTTCACAAAATCTAAATAAACAGTACAATAAGACAGTAGCTGAAAATAGTTTTACTCTTTACATTGAGCATTAAAAAAAAAAAACAGGTTTGTACAAGCCTAAAGTATTCAAGGATCCTTTTGTATTCAAACTGTAATGAATCTATGAATCTTCTGGAGATGTTATTAAAATAAGGATTCTAGGGACGCCTGGGTGGCTCAGTGGTTGAGCATGTGCCTTGGGCTCAGGGTGTGATCCTGGAGTCCCGAGATCAAGTCCCACATCAGGCTCCCTGCATGGAGCCTGCTTCTCCCTCTGCTTGTGTGTCTGCCTCTCTCTCTCTCTCTCTCTCTCTCTCTCTCTCTCTTTGTGTGTGTGTGTCTCTCACAAATAAATAAAATCTTAAAAAAGAAAAAAAAGGGGATCCCTGGGTGGCGTAGCAGTTTGGCGCCTGCCTTTGGCCTAGGGCGCGATCCTGGAGACCTGGGATCGAATCCCACGTCGGGCTCCCGGTGCGTGGAGCCTGCTTCTCCCTCTGCCTGTGTCTCTGCCTCTCTCTCTCTCTCTGTGACTATCATAAAAAAAAAAAAAAAAAAAAAAAAGATTCTGATTCAGTAGGCCTAGAGTGAAGCCTGAGACTCTGAATTTCTAAAAGCCTCCCAAGACTGCTAGTACTGCTGATCTGGTGACCACACTTTGAGTAGTCAAGTTCTAGAAAATGTCATAGAAAAGATCTAGGTAAGAAACAACTACTGGTCCAGACAGAAACTGAAGCCACCCCCTGAAATAGAGACAGAAGTTCAATAGTTCAACGTCCAAAATCTTGTAAAGCTTGACCTCGATACTTAGAGCCTTTAAGACCATTATTCATATAGTCCCCAGAACCCTGGCTCCTCAAAATATCTTACCCTGGTTCATAAAAGCCCTTTCCAATAGTTTAGATCTAAAGGAAATCCACCTTCATTCCTTACAATTGAGGTGAGTCTCTACGTCTGAAGAAAGAATGGTAAGAGCTAATTTTTAGGACTGTTTGAGTTCGAAAGCCTAAAAGTACACTTTTTTTTTAATTCAATCAACATTTCAGCATACGACTCTATGACCTTCTTCCTAGAAATACAAAAAAAGCTAAGATCTATTCTCTTCCCCTAAAAGTTCACAGTTTAGCCAAAGAAAAACCTATAAATGCCACACTTGTATAGTAAATGTAGTTAAAGCTATCAAGCAACAGACCGGTTTTTCAGTGCACAATTCTTTTGGTACAACTGCAAAACAACAATGCTTCTTAATACCAGCCATATGTTGTTTTATGCCATTATCTAATCAGTAATAAATTAGAAATCAAACTGTTATCCTAGTACAAAAAGCTTCCAATACTCTGAATTTTAAAAATCCCTTCTGAACATCAAAAATTGTGCTTTCACCTTTTATGTTCTGAAACAATGAATGATTTAAAGCTGCCATGATGGCTTAGCAGTTTAGCGCCGCCTTCAGCCCAGGGCGTGATCCTGGAGACCTGGGATCAAGTTCCACGTCAGGCTCCCTGCATAGAGCCTGCTTCTCCCTTT